CAGCAGCGTCTTCGTCTGCCATACAGGCGGCGGAGCTGGAGCAATCTGTGGCCAGGAAGCATCGCCATGGCACTGCTGCCTTGAAGCCAAAGACCCGGGGCGACGGCAGCATGCGTGGCGCACTGGAGCGCATGCTGATTGACATGTTTCGCGACATGCAGGACGTTGGCTTCTACGTCGGCGAGTACGCAGCCAAGAAGTTTGAGATTTCCAGGAGCTTGCTGCCGGAGCTGTTTGCTGGCGTTCAGCGCTTAGAGGAGGAAGAGCGCGAGAGGCGCAGGGAACATGCCTCAACACTGCTTGCTGAAGACTCTGCAGATGTTCCCGAAGAGCGCGGCCGCGCATCTACAGTGCAAGAACAAAGGCAGCGCTGCTTGTCGATACTTCGTCGCCTGGCTTTCGGCATGAACAGATGCATTTGCAAGTCCAATGGAGAAATGGCGTACCAGCTTCTCTACCAGTACGTTAGCTTTGCTGGATACAACATGTTTTTCCGATTCGTGCCGTATGCCATCATGCGCTGCCGCGAGGTTGCTTTAAAGGCGGCATCGCTGCGAGCTCCGCACATGCAGGTGGATCCACTGGACGCACCTGAGGAGCCGGACTCTGGACCAATGCCCGTGCGGGAGCTGGCTGAACTGAGTGAGTCGGACGAAGAAGGGGGACAGTCTAAGGCATCTGCAAGGCTTCGAGTCGTGCAGTTCAACCAGAAAGACGACTACCTACATCGCGGCCGGAACCCTTTACTGCGATGCATGTCCATGGTGATGTATTCTCGCTTTGTGCGTCGCGTTGATCGATCGAAAGCTGGCAAGCCGGATGGCGTTCGATTTTTCGAGTTTGAGAAGCATTATCCTCACTTCGAGAGTTCCTTGCAGGACCCACGGAGGGTTTTTTCTCTTACAGTTCTTAGTTCTTGCTTTTGTGTATTTTACAGTTCTTCCTTCTTGCTTTTGCTTCGTTGTCGTTTGCATGCGCGGCCAGGAGGTCAGAAGCGCGGACAACACCGTAGTGGTGCCTCTGGATCTTCGCTTGCCGCAGGAGTCCGAATCAGAGAAGCACGCAGCTTACATGCTGGGCCTGTCATTTCCTTTCCCTTTATGTTCGCAAGAGTGCGCAAGCTCGGAGTCGTGCTTCTCGTGCCACAGCTTGCGCATCGAGGGTAAGATTTCGGCACGATTTTCCCCGTCCTGGCGGCACTGGAGGGCTTGCATGCAGACGCGCGCCGCTTCAGCGCAAGAGCGGATCTTGGGGGGCTTGAGCTCGCCCGTCATCCGAGACGTGGTTGGAGTTCGATCTTGGTATCCACTTCAAGACGGCGATGAGATTGATCCGGAGCAGCAATCACAGAGCTTGGTGCTGCGGTGGGCTCTGCATCACATGCTCCGACCCCGATCCTGCATCTATGTCGATGTGCCTCGCACACACGAGCTGGTGGCTGCCTTTCTTGGCCTTTTTGTTGGATTTCACTACACTCAGCTATCGCCGCTGGAGCACTTGAGCTTCACCCAGTTGACGTGGCTGCGCCGCTTCGAGCAGCATCACGCTGCAAGAAGGCTAAGCAGCAGCCAGCGTCGCGCGGAGCGCTTTGCTTACATTTCCAAGCTGGAAGAGCATGGCGACCTCGAAGAGGACGACGGCTCAGTGGACATCGAAGGCCACGATGTGCAAGATGGCTTGGGAGAGCAAGATGCTCTCGAGCGTCAGGAGCGGGCCCTGCACGCTGTGGCGCTGGACTCGCTGCAGGATGTTCTCTTTCGCGAAGCAGAGTGGGCTCGAGCGCTAGCTGGACGGCAAAGCCACACCAAGGAGACGCTGACCAAAGCTCACGGATTTCTGCTTGTCATTAGGAGGAGTCCCTCAAGTGCAGCAGGGAATGAGCATTCGTGCCCAAGGAGCTGTGGGTCTGCGGCGCAACTGGAGTCATGCGGATGCAGAGCGGGCTCTTGGCGCTCAAAAGCGCTACCTGGAGTTTCTTTCTGGAGGCGCGGCGTATCCCATGCAAGCTCGGTTTTCGGTCGCTGTTGCTTTCATGTGCTTTTCTGGCTCGCTGTCTCTTGGTTTCGTGGAACTGCCCCGTTGTGGCCACAGGTGACGCAGAGATGGGCAAGGATGACGCGGACGAGGAGGAGTTTGCGCCGGTGCCGGAAACGCCCCCTTCCTGGTCGACTTGAACGCCCGCGGCCTTGGCCCGGCCGAGTACGCGCTGGAGCTGGTGCGGAGCACGCCCTGAACAAGCAGCAAGTTCTGGCAGTGGCCCCGGTCGTGAACGCCATGCAGGAGATGTATGACAAGCGCACTGATTTCTCCAGCTGCCTGGCGGATGGAGCCAGCAGCGAGAAGTGCAACTGCTTGTGGCTTGGCGCAGGGGGCTCCGGCAAAACTTGGGCCTATACGAAGGTGCTCCGTCCTCTTTTCCAGCGACTCTTTGGACGCGCTGGCTACATCGTGGGAGCTCCCACCCACGCAGCCGTCAGACTCCTTGGCCCCGAGGCGAAGACGCTGCACAAGTGGGCCAACGTGAGCCCAAACACTGGCTTGGACCGCCGAAAGCTTCGCGGTGCCAAGGCCAAGGGCAGCGCCGTGGAGGCGCAGATTGCCCAGGCGTCTGCCACGGTGATGGACGAGCTGTCCATGAATCCTCCAGATGTGTATCACGCGGCCGGCTATAGGTTTTCTTTGCTGCGACAAGAGCCTTTGGGCCTGGACATGAGCAAGTACATGGAGGAGTGGTTTGGCAAGATGCCCATCGGCATCCAGTTGGCGGACTTCTTGCAGCTGCGCCCAGCCACGCAGAAGTCGCTCTGTGAGTGGGTGTCGGCCAAGGCAGCGACAGAGCCTTCGGCCGACCCCGACGCGGACGCGGAGCACGACGACTCGGAGGAGGCTCCAAGGGCTTGGCAGCGTTTGTGAGCTTTGAGTGTTGTGTTTTTGTCTGACGCATTTCCACGGTTGGATGTAGGCCATGCCTCACTCTGAGTCTTCCGTGAGGTCAGCAACGCGTCCGAGCTGGGGCGCCTGCTATTCAAGCAGTCGCTGCAGCGGGTCGTCCACTTCGCCGGCACAGGTCGCTTCTTGGATTGCGTTTCTGGGCGACAGCTCGTGCAGCTTTTGCAGCACATGCGAAGTGGGACGCGCATGTCTGACGAGCTGTGGCAAGCCGTCAAAGCGAGGAGCTACACCTCGGCCTCCACGACTTCAGCGTCCACTCGCGAGCAGCTCCTCCAAGCTCACTGGGGCGGCTTTGCCTGGGAGCAGGTGGCCCGCTTGCAGCAGCTCAGGGCCGCGCTGGAGGCCCGAGCTGCCGGTCAGACTTTGTACTTCGCGCAGGCGATTGACCGCCCCACGGGTCCCACGCAGCTCAGCAGAGACCACGTCTTCGCAGCCTTGCAGGTCGTGAACATGACAAAGACGTCATATCTGCTTGGCATGTGTCCTCTCTACGTGGGCATGCCTGCCCGCGTGTCTTGCATATTGCCCAGGCCCTTGCTGACACGCGAGCTGCCCGTGATCGTTCGAAGGATAGAGCTGCACCCGAAGGAGCCGCCAGTCCCGGAGGGTCAGGGGTGTGTTGTTCTCGCATATCAGCCTCTGGCAGTGCTGGTAGAAGTAGATGACGAGGAGTACAAGAACTACTGCCTACCTGGGCATGAGGGCGTTCCGCCCGGGCACTTTTTCATCCGCGCCATATCTTCAGAAAACGCTTGGTCTTTTCATACTGCGGGCAAGGAGAAGATCAGCGTGGTGCGCAAGCAGGTGCCGCTGGCTCCTCGCTGTGTTTTGACTCACTACGGGCTGCAGGGCGTGACTGCCCGGCGGGGTCTCGTGGCCTTCCTTTCCAGGCCCAG